GTGTGTGTTCCTTCACCCTGTATGCTTAAAGATATCATGTTGATGAAATTAGATTTTAATGCAGGGTGACAATGACCTCTCAGTCAGATTCTAATATATATATATTATATATATATATATATATATATATATATATATATATATATATATTGTATATGTGTTGTAACACAATATTAATTAAGACTGGATGAGCAGCTCGAAGACTATCAAAACACAACTAAAGGGCAGAAAAAGAACTTAAAATGCAAGATAGGGACCTTTGCCAAAGATTTAGAGATAGAGTTTATGTTGATAAGTCACTAAAAAGTTACAAGGAAGTAATATGTCTGTGTTGAAATGTAGTATTTGCACCTCAATGGCAGCACCATGTTGGCCACTGCACTGTCTAAGAAGATTAATAAAATCTGTCATTAAATACTGGCACATTTTATTTAAAGACAAAAACATGTGCCACATTTTTAGGAAACCTTATATTTTGTCAGCAAACAGTTCAGATAAATAGGAGATTCTTCCTATTCTAGCTGCATTTAGTGCAGTTCTTAGATTTGAGTTAATGTGTTCCTTCATCCTCATACCAGCAAAAAAAAGGCCTATTTCACTGAATCACCTGTGGGACTAAATATATTTTTTTTATTTCTTAAAATATCCTGGTGGTCTGGATTATGTAGGTAAAACCAAAAGAGTAAAAAAAATTAGAACATAAAAAAAATGAGAATATACCCGTAATAAGGATTAGAGATGCCTTGTTGCTAGACATTTAAAAGACAGCTGGCCATGAAATTTGTTCCAAAAATTGCAAGCTATATATATATGGATCATGCTTCAAAGAGCAGCATTTTGGATCCTCTCTCTGCAGTCAGTAAACCCAAAGGGGTTGAATGAGGAACTGGTGTAAAACTGCTTTCTCCTATTTTGTGATCTCTTGTATTTAACTATGCATATCTGTACGGACTATTTAATGTTTTTGTCATTGAGTGTCACTGATTAAACTGTCAGGACTCTATGCAGATGATTCTTTTTGGGACTGACTGCTCAGCCTGCCTCCAATCAGCTTTGATATGTTCTACCCTGTAAATAAAAAACACTGATTTTATTGAATCTGTAGTGAGCTGAAAATAGCATGTAGCCAAAATGCTTTTTCTTCCCCCGAATGAAGCAACAATGACTAGAGTGCTCCACAAAGGTATTTGCACCAAACAGATTCAAAGAGGGAAAAGCTTTCTAACCCACCACCTTTGGAAGAAACACTATAAAGGGCTTGAAGCAACTTCCAATGATTGTGTTACATCATTAAAGAGAAATATTAGCCCATCCTTCTCTGGTCTCTATTAGAGGCTTTGGAAGATGGCCGTATCAAAGGATCTTCATCAGATTTATCTGGACTTTGACCAGGCCTCTCAAAAACATTTAGTCCTGTTAGTCAGTAGAGTCAAATCTTAGCTCCAGAGGGTCTGTTCTGCAGCATTCTGATATGTCCATGATCCAACAGACTTGGAACAACTGAACTCCTCTGTATGCAGTTAAGTTTTACTGTACAGAGATTTGTTGATGACTTCATCGTTTGATTACTTTGTGCTTAAGCAGAGACACATCTTGCAATTGCAGAGTTGGACGTCATTAACTTTACTAAATTCTCCTGCTGAAGTGTGCTGAAACATAAAGTCTCTAACTGATGACTGCATGGTGGAAAGCAGTTTGATGGTACTCTGAAATACTGATGTAAGAAAAAGAAAAACCTTTGCAAAAAAAACTACTAAAACCCTATTCGGCAATCCCTGTTTATGCATTATCAGATCAATTTAAAAACAGATTTCTCATACAGAAATGCTAGGATATTGCTGCATCATAGCCTGCACAATCACGGAAAGACAGACAGTCGTCCAGGACACTGTGACTGAAACCTGCCAAAAGAGGCTAAGCCACAGAAGAATCCTTTTTAGAGTGCTGTGCTGTGCATGTCAATGAAACATTACCCAGAAAGAAGAAAAAAGTGAAAACATCAGTAGAACTGCAGCTTGGAGAAGGTTATGAAACAGATCCAATTCATGAGCTTCTGACAGCGGCCCTAAACAAAAGGAAACAAATAAATGAAGGTGAAAAGAACCAAATGCTGACTGTTTATACTTCTCAGTACAATTTTAAAATGATCAGAATGAACTTGATTAGTCACTAATGGTTCACTCTTGATGCTATCGTTTTCAGTTTATATAATTAAACCTTCCCTTTGTTCTTCTTAAATTTCTGTTTACATGTTTCTCCTGCTTTCAAAAACACTAAACAAACCAAGGAGAAATTCAATCAATTAGTATGTTAAAACTGTGATGCAGTTTAAAAAATAAAATATTTTCTTTTCCATCGATCAAATTATGTCTCACTGTCTGTTTTCATGGTCAATTTCACTCTAGAATTGCATTGCTTAAGGTGGCTGCATGTTGGAGTATTTAATTCCCCTTTCGGACTATTACAGCATTTTTGTTGGAATTGAATTGAATAGAATTAACAACATGCTTCTGGCTTAGAACATTAGCTTAGTTTATCTATAGCACCAACTTAAACAAACAAACAAAAAAAAACTCACAATCTCAAGGTACAAAACAGAAAAAACTTCATAGAAATCCATCTGCAGGCAGCAAACTTCTGTCCTTTTCCATTGAGCTAGAATTCCAAATTGGCAGTTGCAAACCGTACAGCTGAATGACATCTCTGCAGCTATATTGCAATTTAAAAACATTCTGCCTTCTGTGATTATAGCTATAAAATAAAGCTCCCATTGTCTGATACTCATGCATCATATAAAGGGACAAGCTGAGTTTCAAATGTTTTTTTTTTTTTATAACTCATAACATTTCTATTAAATCATGCACAAGCACAACACAGAAAAAAATCTGTCCTACATTTCCATTATATCCAAGAAGAAATTCAGAACTCAGGCTGTAGACAAAGTGGGTACATGTTGAATAGCCAAACAAGCCCTTACCAATTAGTCTTTCCTTTTTCTCTCACATGATATCTGCTCTGATAACTCTTGTAAAGGTTTTCAAAGCTACAAAATGAAGGATTTTGCATGCCAAATGGAAGTTCCTTAATTGACTATTGTTATATTGTTTTTTTTTTAAGCATAAACACATTTATACATTACAGTCATATTCATAAAATATGAATAAAAAGGTT